ACCAAAGGCAATGAAAGCTCCTGTACTCACACACCAATGCATCTTAAACAGAAGAAAGAAGGCAATTCAAATGCCAAACCTGACAGTCTTTTGATTTGTCCTTATAAACTGAGTGAAAAGAGTGAAGTAAAGGAAGAAGGAAATCCAAGTAAGCGTTCTTCCTTCTTCTGGCCTAAATATAACGGATGCAAGGTGGAGGTTTGCTACACATTGCTGTTTATGCTCCCAGGACATTACCAGTATAGCTACACTGGTAAGCCACAACTGGAAATGCAGTGCAAGCTTAAATCAGTTCCCTGAGGAGATAAAGATATCAGAAAAGAGTACTCTCCTGCAGAATAAGGTTTCATCAGCATGGACTGAAGGGCAAGGGAAGTATTTCAATTAAGCATGTGATTTCTTGGCCCCCCCCTTATTTCTGACAGCTATACTGGAAACGATTAAGAGGAGAGCAAGCTTCATATGCAAATCTAGCAAAGGAGTCACTGCACAAAAAGGCAGTTTGAATGCATGTGGAAAGCGATGTCACAAGTATCATGTGTTTAATGCATCTTTAAGGCTATTCTAACTCTGGAACTGATTACAATAATTTCAACAATAGTTCGCCATGTTCTCAGTTCCTATCCATTTCTTAGTAGACGGCATCTACCAGCTCATTTTCCACAGTCCACTAAATAACTATCAGATAGTAAATGTGTAACTGACCTGGGACACATTCAAGCCAATGATCAAGAAACAAAATGTTCCATCTCATTACCAATCCTCTCAGCTTTCCAATTCCCCCATGCTCAGATTGGCAACACTTATTATACTAGTACTGGGTGTATAATTGAGATGAGGGTACTTGATCAGAAGTTTTAGGCTGCAGGTATTCACACATTAAACACAGCTTTTTGTGAAGGGAAAAATGCCATATTACAACCTTGACAATCTTGATGTTTTCCTTTAAGATAAAGACAGATTATGTGTCCTTTGTGTGCAAAAGGTAACTGAAAAAGCCTCTAGCTTTGCTATTACCCAGCATCAAAATCTTTAAGAGAAATGTATAGCTATTCGCTCTAATAATTAAAATGCAAGTGGCAGGGGGAAAGAATAAAAAATTATCTTTAAATCCCTTCTAACAATACTGCCACCCTATTTAAGAGCTGAGGAGAGCCAAGTAAGCCTCTTTATTCCCCTGTATTTAACCCACTCCTGGAGACTGTTGCTCTAATAAGATATCACTAGATTTAAACCTTTAAGTATGAAGACTTTAAAAATGATTCCACAAGACAGACTGAACTAAGTAGAAATTTTGCTCTTGTATTATTGGTCAGTGCATTGGTCAGGTTATTATTTGGAAGATGAAAGGCAACAAGTCAAAGAAAGTGAAAAGGTTTGCCAAATAACAGGTTTGCCTTAAGGCACGTCACAAAGATCACACTAATCCACCCACAGAGACAGACACTCACCTGTCAGTGTTATAATGGCAGAAGCTCAAACAAAATGTACACTGCAGTGGTTTTATATACTGTTAGTGGGTTCAACAGCAGCGATTTTTTTTTGGCTGCCTGCCACCAAGCAAAAGCTAACCTTGCACCTTAACAATTTGGACTCTAAAAAACATAAGCAGTTTTATCTCATGACTTATTTCAGAAAATGACAGAAATGGCTGATGAAAATAAAAAACCATAGCTCTAATACCCAATGACAGCAATGCTTTGAGTTCAGTACAACTATCAGCATCCAATGAACTCTGTGCCCTGGTGCCAGCACACAAAGTACCCTTATCCCTAGCCGTAGAAGTCATAATGGGAAAATCTGATTTGGAAAGGATTAACCATGAAAGGAATAGTTCAGAAAGAAAAACTACAGAATGCTCCCAGATACAAGAATGCAGATTCCCATAGTGTATAAAACCTGTTTTATAAGATGCGACATGGTGTCAGAATACATATCTAAGTGCTATTTGAGAACAACGGTCTAGTTTCTTAATAGGTCTGGCTGCAGAACGACATACAAAGCAGTATTCAAATGGTACAAGGAATCCAGATTAAAGCTACAAATGGTAACACCTCAAGATGAAGCTATACTCCTTGACCAGTATCCAATTATACAGGAATACTAGGAGTGAAATTTATAGTTATGCAATTAAAAACTACCGCAACATATATGCACAAGAGGGGGAGAGAGTGAAGGCCACAAAGGCAACCTGAAGTTTGCCATTTCCTGACTTCACTTCCATTAGAGACAAATGTACTAGTTTTAATGCAGCAATTTGCATGTGAAACATTTTGTCTGGTAGAAATCTTAATAAAATAGCTGATATTATAAATTCCTAAACTGAAGGCTTTGGGAACTGCTGACACACCACAGTATCAATACAACAAACAAACCTTTTACACAAGCAGGGAAGCAACAAACACATCACTTTTTATCTGAGTGACACTTCCATTTTAATGCTGGTGCACACACTCTGCTGTATGAAGTGACACTGAAATAACATAAAAACACCAGCTCAACAACTCTGAAGGGCTTCACACAGAGCAAGGGTAGTATCCACACAGGAGACAGGCTTTAAGAACATTAAAGCTTGTTCAGTGGAAAGTTTCCCCATCACTGCATTTTTCAGTAACAAAGATGTTGTCAGAAATGACAATTTTTCGTGTCCCCTGATGATGCCTTGCTAGCATTTGGTTATAAGCCATAAAGCAGGAATAATTTCAGCCTGTCAGGAGTCTAGCTAATGCCCAGTTTTCCCCTAGAGAGAATTCCTGTCAAACGTAATGAGAGCTCCAAAGGCCCTCTCTACAACATAATGAGCACTTAGGCCATGCTGGTGATCAGCCAGCAAAAAGCATCAATTTGAGCCTGGCTACACCCTAGGGGCTAGACGTCACCAGTTTTAATAAGAATTATGATTACTATCTGCCAAATGCCTCCTCAGAACTTACTGTTAATGTTGCAAATTCAAAAGGATGGGGGTTTTTTTGTTCTGTTGTGTTGCTTTTTTCTTTTTAAGGCCACCTATACCGAATTAAAACAGTGCTTTCTTTTCCTTTTTTGTTTCCTCACACTTAATATTTTCGGACTGAATTTGAAGCTTTAGCATACTGCAGCAAGAAGGAAGACAGCATTCTTTTTTCCACAGAAATTACAGTACTTTTTATATGTAAACGGTAGCATGCCAGCTTTATATACAAGTATTTTTCAACATTAAAGCAACTAATTTTCCTACCAAACTTAGTTCATAAGCCTACCTTAGACAACTACAAAAGTTTATTTTCCCTCCACTCAAGCTTTTCTTAAATCTAAATTACAGCAACGTTAAGACTACAGTATTAGCCACATACCCTGCCTTTCCCCAGGTAGACTGATGCAGGTATAATACATCCTTGTTTACTTTAAAGAACTTCTACTCTATCACTGCACATTGGTATAAAATTAGTCACCACGTTCACATAAAACATTAAAAATTTGCGATGCACAAAGTTGTGGTCAAAGTGCAAGTCTCAGATACTCTGATTTTGTGAGCTGAAGCTTTAGAGTAAATAGCTAACATTTGATACATTTATTAAAGTTGCACACTCCCCCAAACATTGCAATATTTTATAGCCATCTAGGAAGACAGCTCCTAGAACTTTTAACCCAATTAATTAACTTTACATAGCCCACAACATGTATCAAGAGAGGCCTGACTTAGGTTGTTGTTTCAGCACAATGTGTCAGCATGTTGCAGTCTGCAATTAAGTTGAAGATAAATATTTTCTAAGAGTCCTTCATGGAATCAATAAATTACCTCAAGGCCAAACTGACACTTTTCCAAATTTAAAGTTACAAGAAAAAAAAGTCCTAAAGCACTAAACAACAACGAAAGAGCACTCTAGTTCTTCACCATACCTCAAAGCAATAAAGTTGTCATAATATTTCTATAATAGTCAATGCTTTGACTTTAAAACAAATACAATCTCAAACACCACATCTAAAACTAAAAATATCTAACTTTGACAAAATGATATCACCTTGCCAAATATTAAGCATACGATAAATTTACAAGGGGGGGAGACAAAAAATCAAAGAGTTCAGAGTTACAAAAGCAGAATTCAACTCTGAAATACTCTTGCTTAATGAAAGTCTTTGAATATACTGAAGATCTGAAGCCTGAACTAATCAATTTCTTTGCTGTGCCCTAGCCGGTCAGCCATGCTCTTTAATTTAATGAAACAAGAGTTTTAGATGAAATAGCACATATACATCAAGAAAGAATTGTATTGTTGCACTTTGAAATGTGTCCAACTGTGCAACTTCATCTAATGATAATTTTTTTAAGAGGCCATCGATTTCTGAAAGACTTATTGTACCAGCATCCTGATGAAAAAGTGAATGTCAGCATATCTACAGAATACTTGCACCCTGCCATTAATGCTTTCTTTGGCAGACAATGACTACTCAATTGAGGGTCCTCTGGGCTGAGCAATCATTTAGCTTTTCTTCTCTTATGAGGTCCTTAGTGCCTTGTTCCAGTTCAATACTCTTTTTATTCACCATTATAGTGGCCATAAGTGTGAATTTTATGGGAACTTGCAAACTCAAAGTCATAACTAGAGCTTTTCAAGTCACTAATCTTTTCATACTTTTAAAATACAAAGATTTCAGCAACTATCAACATATGTTGTGTACATATAATTCTTGTTAAACAGATCCCAGACTATGTCAACCAAGAATTACTCCACATAGTTCCTTATAAGACATCAAACTTGAGCACTTTTCTTTTTTTAAATTACAAAGACAAGCCTTTTTCTAAGATTCCTTACATACTGCAAAACCAACAGAGAACAGAAGGTTGCTGTTCTGGATATCTTATTTATACTTTAGGTGATGAGTTTACCAATTACAACTATGAATCAATCTACTCTTTCAGACAAAAACATGCTAATATAAATCCAAATCCAACAGCTACATTGAAGTCCACTAGCCACATTATAGGTTAGACTGTATATTTCTGAACACAGATATCTTACCTGTTTGTGCATTTCAATGTTTAGTCCATATGACATTTCATAATACTAAAATTAAAAAAGAGGAAAATACATTAACCTAAAATTGTAAAACAGTAATATATTGGAAAAAAAATAACACAGTTAATAAATAAAGGCAAGACAAACACACCATACTTACCATCACATAGTGCCTTTGCATTTCTGTTTTTTCACTTGCCAGTTTCTCACATTCCAATTTAAGGCTGTAAAAGAAAACACACTTGAATGTAAATGTTACATCATTTGTCCTGAAATCTACCTGCCTTCTTTCCACTTTGGCAGGGGGGAAAAAGTGATTTGAGTAGGGGTGGGGACAGGGACAAGTTCTCATTGCTACATATCCATACATTTTTAGTTTAGTATTTAATACAAAGACTAAATAGGAACATAAAAAGAACTAGCATTCAGTCAGATCAAACTTATTTTATATGCATCTATTCATTAAGGCTTGTATAACAAAAACAGTATGCTTAGCCCTTTGATCAGAAATTGTCTCAACTCCCAAACTATAGTATAATGTGATTTCACTACAGTTTAACTCCTAGTGGACTAGAGTCATGCACTGAAAAGGAAGTAAAACAAATAAGAGTTATTGACACAGCTACTTCTATAAACTTGTTTAGGTTCTGGTTCTAAGCCTTATTTCAAATGATCTGACTGTTCAGCTGGGTCAAACATGACTATTTTTGGCTTTGAGTATTACTTAAAAGTCAGTTTGACTTTAAAAACTTGTGAGATAACAACCTTTAACAAGTGGTAAAAGTGTATGCTCAACTTTTTATTCATACACATGTAGTTTACATTAAGAATTGCACAATTTTAACTAAGGGCTTTTTGATAAGCCAGTGCTCATCTACAGATAAAGCCCAGAGACCACAAGATGACTCAAGACAAAATATCTAACCAAAGCCTTCAAGAAATAAGAGAATTTATATACAGAACCCTGTATAGATCATCTCTACACTATCACAAGATAAAGCTGCACACCAAAGAACACAGTCTCTGTTAATGCCAGAAGTACTGTGCATGCAGTGAGAGGAAGCAGATCCTCAATATACACAGAGACCTTGGCACAAAGCATACAAACTAGGAATGGCATGCTTCAAGGATGGGACAGCAGCCATTAATGACTGCTTCAGTAGATTTAAGTCATCTTTTCAATGGTATTCTGCGTTTGCTTTCTTAAAAAAGAAAAAAAAATCTTCATCTCCTGTTTACATACCAATTACTGACATTTCCTTGATCTTTTCATTAAATGCACACCATAGAAGACAAACTACCATGAGAATTAGCTCCCTTAATATTTCCTGCTACCAAGTTAGACTGGATATTCTCTCAATTTACTCTGCCCTTACCAAGGTTTTGCACTCAAGAATTCTAACACACTTTTACAAAGGTGCATTAAGTTTCACACCACACGCTAAGTCAAACAATCTCCCCATTTTACAGATGGTCACACTGCATAGTGAAGCTAGCCCCAGCTCCCAGTCCACATCCTTAAACTACACTGCCCCTTACTAAACTTTTAAATTAACTGAGCAATTACAGATTTTTTTTTTTTGCAAAAATCTAGTTGGTCTAATAAAAGATCACCTCTACCACGTGTCCCAATTCCTTTTGCCTCTAGACCAATACGGCTACAACCTGGATACCTGACATCTTACTGAACTTGACGTTCTTACTTCAACAGTAACTCAGTAGTGCAAGGAACGGGCAAGAGTATCCACTGACCCGAGCCTAGCCTATCAGCAAAAGAAAACACAAATATTGACAGCTCTTGGGAAGCTTTAAACACACACGAAATAAAGTTCAACCAAACATTGTT